CACATATAAATAATAGAAGCTCAGTATGTGCCTTTATACTGTCTAATGTGAGCAATTATTTGAAGTTTGAAGACACACACACACACACACACACACACACACACACACACAGACACACATCCTTGGTTAATGAAGCCCCTGGGTGGCTATGTCCATAATGCTGTGGATTCTAACAGAATATCTAATACCGCAAGCTGTGTGGCAAAATGGCCAACCTGCTGGTTTAGTGGAATTCAGAAAGGAAATTCAACTGGTTTATGCCCTGCATAATGTTTAGATGTTTGTAGAGCAGCTCTGCCTTCAGTAAATTGATAATGAATGAGGGGGTGGGGGGGTCGGGGGATGGTGCTGAAAGCATCAAGGCTAGTCTACAGAAATCTGTAGCTGAGCAATTAAAACTGCACCAAAATTTGCTAGTCTGAACTGCCTGTCAAAATGACACCAACATACATTGTCATATTCCACATTTTCTTATTGTTATGTCATTCATGCTCATATGACATTCTGGTCCAGTTTATTTATAATGACCATGTTAAGCAGTCCTAAAACCAGTGGTGAAATTGTAACTATCAGAGCTAGGTCTTTAGTTCGGGCAATAAATGTCAAAATCCACCTCTAGGATGATGCCAATTTCTGCTAGCACTCCTATGGTATTCTAGTAGTATGTTAGCGATAAGCTAACAGTGATTTACATAAACATTTTTTGTCCATTTTAGATTAAACGCAAACATTTGAAGCTTATAAAAGACAATCCATATATTTTTGCTTGTAACTGATATTAACATATATATTTTACTTTGTAACAGTTATATAGTGACTTTTTCAGTATTGAGCACTGGCACAGAGCTACTGCCACTATGTTCCGTCACTAACAACTGACTGAAACCTGATTAGATGACCACTCTAATTCACAGTAAGTGACATATCTAGGACTTCCAGAAAGCATTTGTAAATCAAAACATGATTGTTTGATTCCAATGTCCCTTCTTAATTATGTTGGTGGGTAATCTGACACTTTAGGCCTTCAGCTCCTAACTAATGAGAGAACTAGGTTGGCTGTATCTACCTAGATACAATGGAGAAAAACTAATTGGATCATTTTCTGGTGAGAGTTTCAAGAATTTAACTCTTTTGTTTCCAACGAAACTTAACAATGAGAGTATTACTACAATGCTTGCACAGTTTAAATATGACAGGTATGATGACTACATTGAATAAAGATGAACTAAAATTTACAGACATGTATTTTTTTCTTTATTTCATATAAACTATTCCCTAAAATTCACAAAGAAAAGAGTAAAAAAAGTTAAACTAGGAGAAACATAACTGGATTTTAGGGAGCTTTAAGGCTGTAAATGCTTCTAACATCATCTCATTATGTTGGTGTATTTGCCTACGTCTCAGAGTTTCTTTTTGTAAGGCATGTTGGAGGTGACGGAGAGAGAGATTATTCACAGCGCTTGTCGTGACTTCTCGCATCTCCTCAGCACTCCCTCCGTGACTGTGGGACTGGGTGTGTGTGTTAAAGGGCTCGATTATTCATGCACATGCTTTAAAATGTAGGACTTTCTTTCATGTGAAAACTTCCTAACCTTTGATTTGGTGCTATTAAATGTTTCTGCAAACACAGAAAACTGAATGTTTTTCTTGGATGTCTGTGTACATATAAAAATGCGGTAATAAGAAGCACCAAGAAAGAAGACATATAAAAATCGGTGCATCATTAAAATCATTGGAGTCTTTGATTACTTCCTAATTTTACATTAGTTTAGCTCTTCTCTGTCTGCAAATAATGTAATAATCCATTTGGGGACTACGTTCAAGTTTGAGCAGCTTTCTGGTTTCTAACATATGATGTTCCTCAACTTTAATTTTGTCTTGCAAAGAGTACAATAAGGCACATCATTACGATCCAGGGCATGATAAGCCATAGTGCACAATTAAACCAATTTTGCTAATCTTAATTAAACATGTCACCATTTCTTTAAAGTTAAGGAAAAGAGAATTGTGTTGTGTGACTCGGACCTAATTAACTGAAGCTCTTGCTTTCAATTAAGGCATAGAGATTTCATTAGAGTCACTGCTGGTTAAGACCCATCAGTGCAGTGACAGCACCCATGCTTTCAAATGGCACCAACTGAAAAAAGCCCTGTAGGCACACACCAGGCGAACTAGAGAGTGATGATGTACTCATACTAATAAGATCCACTTTTCTGAAGGTGGCTGAGGGAAAAAGAAAGCTTTTGGCTTTGGTTTGCCTTTCCAGTGCTGTAGCTTTAGAGATGTATATCAGTGTAGACTTAAATAAATAATAAATAAATGTATAAATTTGGAAATAATGTCATGACTAATTAATAAATAATGGAGGGCACTTCTTTTTCTGAATTAGATGTTATCCTTTAATTTTTAGAGAGGCTAACTCTCCTAATCGTGTAATTTGTAAGATGTGCACTTTCCCTTATAAGTGTGGAGTTATTGTTGTTTTGCTATACTGTTTAATCATAATTGCATACATACAGAATGCATTACATTCACATTTGATTTACATTCTCTATCGATAGGTTTGAATTTGCACTTTTGATTTTTCATCAAATATAGTCTCCTTTGAAAGTACTGGAATGGCAAGGCCGACTCTTTTGTTTTTGCTATACATTGACATTTGGGTTTGAGATCAAATAATGAATATGAGATCAGAATTTCAGCTTTTATTTCCTGATATCCACAACTAGATGTGTTATCCCCAGATCTATTACATACTAAGGTTTGTTATTCAGTAACTACAGGGACTTCAGTGCAAACTGGCTGAGCTATTCTTAGGTTATAGAAGTGTGTAATAAAACCTTGGGCCCACTGACTAACAACTTAGAACATGTCACTTTTGGTGGCAGACCACCCGATTTTTAGGTGAGCAAAAGTGTAGGAACAGATAGTCTTAAAGTATATTAAAGTAAATAATTATTAATATTTGGTTGCATATCCCTTGCTTGCTTTGATTGCATCAAGCTGGTGATCCAGTGACATTGCCAAACTGGAAAGAAGCTGCGGTATTCTGTTGCATTCTCTTTTTGTGATTCTTTTCTAGGCTTTTACTGCAGCTTCTTTCCATTGTTTGTTTTCTGTAGAGTTTGTCCCTTCAGTCTCTTCTTCAGGGGGTGAAATGCATGCTCAGTTGGATTAAAGTCTGGATTGACTTGGATGGTCTAAAACCTTCCACTTTTTCCTCTGATGAAGTTCTTTGTTGTGTTGGTGGTGTGTTTTGTGTCATGTTCTTGCTGCTTGATGAAGTTCCTCTTGATTAGATTGAATGCATTTCTCTGTAAATTGGCATTGACATAATGTTTCTGTAGACTTCTGAATTAATTCTGCTGCTACCACCATGAGTTACATCATCAATAAAGATTAGTGAGGCGAGTCCAGAAACAGCCATACGAGCCCAAGCCATGATACTACCTCCACCATGCTTGACCAATAAGCTTATATGTTTTGGATCATAAGCAGGTTATTTCTTTCTCTACACTTTGGCCTTTCCATCACTTTACTAGAGGCTGATCTTGGCCTCATCAGTCCATAAAACTCTTTCAGAAATGTTGAGGTTTATCTCTGTATTTCTTAGCGAATTCTAAACTATCCTTTAAATTCCTACTGCTGGTACATGGTTTGCATCTTTTGGTATGGCCTCTGTATTTTTGGTCTTGAAGTCTTCTTTGAACAGTGGATTATGATACATTCACCATTGCACTGTGTCAGGTGCTGTCACTGGCTGCTGTCCTTGGGTTTGTCTTCACAGCTTTCATCATCAGTTATTTTCTTTGGCTGACCTGTTCAATATCTCGTTGTTAGTACACCAGTGGTTATTTTCTTGATTTCAGGACATTCCAAATTGTTGTATTGGCTATGTCCAATGCTTGCACAATGGCTCTGATTGATTTTCCCTCTTTTCTCAGCTTTAAAATGACTAGCTTTTCTCCCATAGGCAGCAGTTTGGTTTTTCATGTTGGTTTATCCTTTTTGACGACAAATGCAGTCTTCACAGGCGAACCCCAGGACTCAACCCAAGAGCAGACATTTAGAGCTATTAACTGTTTAAACAGTCAGGCACATCTGTGCATCTGTCTGTCTGTCTGTCTATAATGCTGTGAAAAGCGTCCCCCGCCCGTGATTTCCTTTATTTCTGCATATTTATCACACTTTCATACAAAATGTAATATGAGACAAGGAGAACATGAGGAAACACAGTTTTGTAAATGATCATTTCATTTATTGAAAGAAAAACATTTTGCAGCAACTACATCACCCATGTAAAAAAGTAATTTCCACTTCAAACTTTATAAATGGTTATGCCACCTTTATATACTCTCCACCTATATATATATATAATATATATATATATATATATATATACAGTTTGAAGAGTGATTATCAAATACCTTAGAATTATACTGACTTGATTGTTTTGCACTGATTTATTCAATTTATACTTTTTAAAAATGTTACAGCTAGTCCCTCTGTCTGTTACAATAACTCCACAGGTTGTAATATTTGCACTCTTGTGGAAACAGATGCTTGAAATGCTATATAATATATGCATCAAAACAAGTACGATTAAAAAATGTCAGATTTGTCAAATTTATTTTTGACCACATTGAATTTACATAGTTTACTTTAGGAGACTTACTTGTTACACTGCATAACAGCTAATTCCACAATGTGGAGGCTCTACTTTAGCCTGACCAGCTTTCACTGTGAGTTTTACAGTCACAAAGAGAGTGAATAAAATAATACAGGCGTGACTCAAAAAGATTTTTTTTTTAATTGAAATTCTAGAATATGCACTTTTGACAGAATTTCTGTATGTTTCAGTGAGCTGCGTGAGACATTATTACATCTTTATTTTAATTATTAAAGCTTATTTTTCTATTTACTGCACCATTTGGTCATTTATTGTCTCAATATCCTCTCTTCATCAACCTCACACCTACCTTCACTCTCTCTGTCTGCAGATGTATCAGTGAGCCTGCTGTCGTTGGTGGTGACCGCCTGTGGCCTGGCCTTGTTCGGCGTCTCTCTCTTTGTCTCGTGGAAGCTATGCTGGATTCCATGGCGAGAGCGAGGCCTCTCTCCTGGCACCAAAGAGAGCCAGCCAGACCCTCACCCTCACCCACCTCCCCCGCCCCTTCAGCCGCAGCCCATTTACACAGAAGTGGATGCAACTCTCGACCGCCGGAACCAGCCGCGAGGTTCTGTGGTTAAGGAGACGACGGTGCCTCCTACACCAGTCTCTCCGCCTCCACCCGGGTCTCCCCCACCCGTCCCGGTGCCTGAGGCAGCCCTGAAGATCAGCCACACTTCACCTGACATTCCCCTAGAGGCGGAGTCCAAGGCCCGGGAGAACGGTGTCTATGGCAACAGCCGCATACAGAGACAGATCACTGATCCGTCTTCCACCTGTGTCCGGTCAGTGAGGTTAGATGCTGTGGGGCAGATGAGAGAGAGCAGAGGAATCAGCAGTGAAGCCTAAGTGAATACAGAGATACAGGTTCCTTTACCCTTTAAAAAGGGGTCTTCAGAGGTTCTTTAGTAGAGGTTATATATAGAATCATGACAATTGAAAAACTAATGCTAAGCATTAAAGTAGTTTGTGATTTATCATTATCTATACATAACCATTGCCACTACTAAAGAACCTTTGAAGAACCTTTTTAAAGGGTAAAGCATTTGGTTCTTTGCATGTTTAGACCACACCCAAAACTGAGCTGGGTACAGAGGATGAGAAATGTGGGCTGGAATTCTGGGATGGCTTGTTAAGTTTGAGGAAGCCAGACTCCCCTGTCCCTCAGTGAGCGAGCAATCATGGAAAAATGGGAGGAGACAGGGTGGTGGTGGGATGCAAAGTTTTTGTCAAGGGAAACGTTTCGGATATGTTTTGGGCATGGTCCTTCTCCCAAACCTATTTCATATTTTATTTTGCATGGTTAAATCATTTATCTCTATGATGCCCAAGACCTTCCAGCCAAATGTTATAAGTGGTTCTTTAAAGTACCTTTTAAAAATGGCTCTATATAGCAGCAAAAAGGTCTCCCCCATTGTTATGGAAAACAGCTCTTTTTGCACTATATAGAACCATCTTTGCTAATAGTATTGGATAAAAGGAAATGTGATCAACAGCTGTTAGAATATGTAATTGTCATGTAATGGGCCATTTCTATTAGTCTGATTACCATTAGATGCTCACAAAATGTGACATTTTCAAGTGGTGTAGAAAAGGAAGATTTGATATGACTGACAAATTAAGATTAGATAAAATATGATAAAATTTCCTGGTGCTGAATGTATTGTTACAGCAGAAGTGTGCTTAACACAGTATACAGGCAAAATTTTAAGTGTAAGTTTTCTGAAGACAAATATGAATATATATTAATGGTAGAATGGCCATTTATTGCACTTATTAACATATAATGAATATTATCTTGTAATGACAATTGCATTTGTTCACTGTTAATGATTTTCTAAGTATGATAATATGTGCTGTATCACACACACATTACTACAGACCTTTGTAATGTTTGTATGTATCATCGCCATTGCTGTTAGAACAGAACACCAAAAAGGCAACTTTAAAGAAGAATTGAAAATCTTTACATGTACTAATGTACATTATTGTACATTGATGTTACAAGATTTTATTCCAGGCTTATGGATCATTTCTATTGGTCCATTCATCATGAAATTTTCACGCAATGTAAAGGACAGCTGGTGCTATCGAATGGTGTAAAAAATGGCCAACAGCAACGATATGTTTAGGCATATTTTAAGCTTGTTCCAGTACACTCATGCATGCCAAAAAGATCTATTCATCAGTTCATCTTTCTATGCAGCCAACCTTCTTTCCAGTCTATTTGATGTAGGGTTTGTTCCTTGGAAAAGTGCCTGGACTTGTTCTTAAAGTGACGGATAGCTGGCAGAATATTTATTTTTTATGTTGTATGAAGTACACAGAAGCAGGCCAAGAAGATGCATTCTTCAGTTCTTTTTAAGATGCAGCCAGGAGAATCTCTCTGGGAGAACGTATATGATTCTCCTGCAGTTCATCCTGTAGAAGGTCAATAAATCTTCTCCTTTGTGTCTTTTGTCATAGACAAAGTTCTATCCGGCGTCAGATGAACCAGTCCAATCCTGACTTCATGGTAGCTCAGTTCCAGAGGCAAGACTCTCTGACAGGAATGAGTCTTGGCAGGCTTAAACCAGAGTTGTACAAGCAGCGCTCTCTGGACGGTGAGGAGAACCGAAGTGGCCGAAGTGGCATGTGTGGTCGTCTCCATTTCATCCTCAAATATGACTGCGATCTGGAGCAGCTCATTGTCAAGATCCATCGTGCCCAAGACCTTCCAGCCAAGGACTTTTCCGGCACCTCAGACCCCTACGTTAAAATCTATCTACTGCCCGACCGCAAGACCAAGCACCAGACCAAGGTGCACCGCAAGACTCTGAACCCTGTGTTTGACGAGGTCTTCCTCTTCCCTGTGGCATATGCTGAACTTCCCTCACGAAAGCTCCACTTCACTGTTTATGATTTTGACCGTTTTTCACGTCACGACATCATTGGACAAGTGGTGGTGGACAACTTCCTGGACCTGGTAGACTTTCCCCGGGAGACCAAGCTGTGCCGAGATATTCAATACGTGTCCTCGGTGAGTCCTCCACTAACAGCATCACATTCTCATCACATTTTTCAACTCTTATTCTGCCATGTGAGAGAATAAGCAAATTACAGATTCACACACTTGAAAATATAGGTTCTTAAATGCTTTTTCAACATCTGGTCCTTGGAAAACATTTAACGGAGTAACAAAATGCTAAAGTTTTTGAGCATGATCATGTCTGAAGCTCCTCCTCCTTCCAAAGTTCTATGAATTTCCATCGCTACCTTCCATTTTCCATGACAAACACCACCCCATCTCCTCCATGTTCCTCCATCCTCTCTCAGACCTACCTCTGTTCATCAAAGAATGGGTTTGGATACCCAGCTCAAGCAGAGGCTGCCCAGAACGGCCCAAGTTCTCAGAGTTCTCTCCTACACACTTAAAAAAGATGGTTCTTCAAGGGTTCTTTAGTGAAGAAAATGGTTCTATATAGAACCATTAACCCTTTGCGTGCTTGCTTGTTCTTTGCATGGTAAAATGGTTCTTCAGATTGATGGAGAACGTGTGTATATAGTTCTATATAGAATCTTTTTGAAAAGCGTTCTATATGGCACCAAAAAAGGGTTACTTTATCGTTACACGCTATCTATCTACCTATCCATCCATCCATCCATCCATCCATCCATCCATCTGAAGAACCATTTCATGGCAGATGTTTATCTTTGACTAAAATAGCACTTTGCAGCATCATCAGAATTGGTTTTATTTCCCATATTACTCACTACATAATAACCACACGACTCTGCAAACTGTAATGTGCAGACAATGGATAAGTGCAAATACTAAATGGAAAATGATTATGTATGATGATGCCCAAGGGTGCTGGCTCTCCTGAAAAGTCCTTTCCTTTAAAATTCAGCTCATGCTTGCATAGCGAGTTGAATGCTAAAAGCTAGCCTGGGTAAAAGTGAACTGTGAAGCACAGTAAAATAAAATAGGGTTCAAAATATCTTTTGTTTCTTTGCTCTGTTTTCCCACAGCTCTATAAAGGCACAGGGAGTAGAAAATGAGGGAATGATTTTAACTAGTTGATTGACTAAATCTCTTCTTCCTTGGCCATGTTCTTCAAAAATAATGTACTGAGCCATTGATTTAAGATGTAGAAACTGCTTTTACAATAGGGCATGGTTCAATATGTCAAGGAAATTTTCATCAGTGATTTTGAGTGGTCAAAATCATTTTATTGAATGTCAGCAGCAAGAAATTGCATGTCTTTTACTCTGAGATGAACAAAGCCATGTTAGTTCCAGTAAAGAGGGGTGTCTGATGCTTATTTTCTGGTCAAGATTAAACCATGCATGTAGATGTAAGGGCTGCCTTTAAAACACTTTTGCGCTAAACTGTTGTTTGGCTAGGAATGTCTTTATTCCATCGGATACAGTGCACTAGTATGCATACCATGCATACAGCATACTAGTCTGTATACCAATCAGTCAGCTTATTTTCTCACCTACCTAGAGTATTGTGCAAAAGTCAGACAAATTTTCAGCATCAGCAAAAAACAGAAAATGTTCGCAACAACTAAATTTGATATCTTAAAAATATTTCAGTATTTAGTGTGGGGGTGTCAAACTCAACCACTAAAAGGGCCATATTAAAAATCTCAACAAATCTGTGGGCCAGAAAATGCCCATGTTTCATTTCATTTTTAATTAACATTTTGCTATAAGCCAAACTGACCATTGTTTATTCAAAATATGCAAAAACTTTAGTAGTAAAATATAGGCGCTTGTAGTACACCTTGAAATATTACATGAATGCTTGAAATATTCAAAATTTAAATGTCCCCAGCATCTAGGTCTTTTAAACCTACTTATTTGCTTGAACTAGATACCTGGTGATACGACTGGTGTGGAACTGTGTAAAAATGTGTAGAACTGAGGTGGAAACGTTGTCCCATAGATTGTTGTTGGGGTAGGAGAGTTGGTGCGTGCATTACATTGCAGTGCATGCTGGGGACTGTAGTGCAGGGCATTGTGAAACGAGCTAATATGAATAAGGATAGGATAGGATTGTGTCAGATGTCTTGTGTCTGACACATGGGATTTAGTGTGTCCAATCTTTGCCTTTATTACAGCTTCATTTCTTTTCAGCTTTCAGTTTTTCAAAGAAATCTGGAGGGTTTTTGATGCTTCTTGTAAACACCTTCAAAGTTAAGTCTTAGAGGTTGGTTGCATTTTCTCATTCTTGCGATCCAAATAAGTCCAACCACATTCAGTGATGTTGAGGTCCGGACGTTGGGTGGCCAGTCCATTGTTCTGAGAACACCAGCAGCTTCTTTGTTGATGAACAGAAACACCTGTGGATTTTTTTCAGATCTGAAGCAAGAGCGGACCTTGACTTTCTCCTCTGTCTCAAAGATGAAAGCTTTAAGTATTACGTTCTTTCTTTGGACCTTTCCCTTTCGTATCCTAAATGGATTACCTTACATCTAATCTCCTCAGAAATATATGTATTTAACTTGTACTTAATGGCCATTTTGACTGGAGCTTAATTAAATGAAAGCTCTTCTTTGACTTTTTCACAGTACTGTATGTCATTGTGTTTTCATTTTTGAAGGACATTTAAAGCCCCTTTTACACAGATTCAGATGTTTCTGCTCATTTGCCTGTTGATTAATTATAAGTTTGTTAGTCTATTTTGTTTTGACAGATGAGTAGAGGCCTACAACAGGGCTTTACTGTATTTCATTTTCTTTCATTTAACTCCTCTCTCCTTCTCCTCCTCCTACTTCTCCTCCTCTCCCTTCTTCTTCTTCTCTTTGAATAACTGCTCTCTTTTTTCATCCCATTTCCTCATTCTTGGAGCCTTTATGTGCATCACCTCATCAATTTCTCACCCATCCTTATCATTCTCCCTCTCATTTTTCTTCCTACACCGGTACGTGTTCTCTATCTGCTGTGTTGAATGGGTTAGGGAGCGTGCTGGATGTGAGCTGTTCTGTGAAGCAGATAAGGGTGGGAGTTGTGGGGGGGGGATGGTTGCAGGTGTGGAAAGACTGAATTATTGCTTTTCTTAAATGCTCTATCTGACTGGATCCTATAGACAAGACTTGTGTTCGGCCTCCATTGGTTACATCGAGCTAATTATGAATCTCTGCCTTAATTTTACAGGTTAATTGAGGATATTTATCATGTCATTTCTTAGAGGTTAAAAAAATCTAGTATTTGATTTAATACAGATGAACAATCAGAAATTGCTAAAATTGCAGCTATTTAAGGTCATCTTTCACCTTTGGTTTTTGCAAACACAAAAAGCTATTCCAATTTCAGTGCAGATCAATAAAATCTCTCAAAAAGAAACCACACACACACACACACACATTTGCATTGTTAGATTAACTGCTGTTGTTCATGTGGATTCGAGGCTATTGCTTGATTAGCGTTTACGTTCAGAATGTTTACTGTAATGGTAGGGTACAAATGGCAACCCCATGACACGAATCTCAAATGATTTTCCATAACAATCAACAAACAAAGAGCTCACATGGTACAAAAATAAACAATCAACTGCTTTCCAATAGGCCTCATACTGGCATATGGCCCCATTCCCAAAAACATTACAGTAAACTGTAAATGGGGGCAATACAGCTACTGTCTCTGCATGTCAGTAGGATGAAAAACTGCTTTCACTCCACTTCAACCTTCTTCAGCCTCCTTCGTTCAAGGCAGAGGAAGTAAAAGTTTAATCATGCATGTAATAAAACCAAATGCTGACCCAAACCTGTAAGCAATCGATGCCTCTGCAGGCTACGATGATGATGATATATGCAGTTAGCATTCATGACTTACCTGCTGCTGATGACCTTTATCTAATTAGCAGCCTGAATACATTATTCATCAAGTGACTCAATTAAAGAGCACAGATGAACAGCCAGACCACCACAAACAAACTCTCCTAATGACGCCTTAGCAAATCCATTGTCCGCATCAGTCAATAGTACAGATCAAGATAAATGGATAATTAAATGTGGGATTTTAATTATGCCACTGCAGCCTTTTGAAGAGATAGCGAAGTCCTCTCAATTGAAATAAAATGGCTTTCTGGGGCACCAGTTATTTACTGGTTACTTTAAAGAAGACATAGAAAGTCTCCTTTGTGTCATGCCCAGCAATCTGGGGTTTTGCTAGAGATAAAAGTAAATAATCCTCAAATGAAACTTCAGATTCCATTCAAAAGTTTAGAATCACAGGCTCCCAACTGGTGTAAGCATCTAAGTCTTGGCTCCATCATCAGGAGATCTACAGCCATCTGTAGCCGGGAGTCCGAGAGTGCACAATTGGCCTTGCTCTTTCTGGGTGGGTAGGATAGCCTTACCTCTCCTCCTGTCACTTAGATCAATGCTAGACAGGCATCTGTTAGCTGACATAACAAAACTGGCGGTTAGTGTTCTCCTCCAAGTGCGTACAGCTGTCCAATGATGTTGCGTTAGCGGCAGTTTGAAAAGATGCAGTAGCTAGTTTCACATGACTCGGAGGAAGCTTGTGTTTGCCTTCGCCTTCCTAGAACTGGTGTTATGACATGATTGTCCTAACTAGTCAGAGGAATTGGATACAACTAAACTAAAATTGGTAAAAATCTAAAAAAAAAGTTTGTATTCACTGTTCAAACGTTTGAAATCAGTGTTCAAAAGGCATTGTTTTCATGTCACTAGAAAGCTGTAAATAAAAATGAGAAATATTAGATGTGACCAGAATGATGAAAAGAGCTGTGGACAAGTCTTAAATGCTGTATAACATCAATTATTAATGGAGAATTCCACCGATTGCAGGAATGGTTAAGATGCAAGCAAAGTCATTCAGAGTGATTTGATGTGAAATACTCTGTTCTAGAAAAACTTCACAGTGCTGGTTTAATGCCTCTTAAAGCTACCTTACAGAAAATGATTACATGAAATGGTTACTAATGAGTTGCCTGATGCCTAAGACATTATTTTACAATAGTTTTGAGATCAGGTTTTGGCCCAAAATGTATTTGTTTTAAATTCATTCATAATTGATAGGTACACGCAGAGTGCTGTAAGACAAAATAGTCCCCAAATAAAACTGGTGGGTTCACTGGATAGTAAATAAAATGGTTTTATTTGTGGTGTAGTCATCATGACCCCTGGTTCCTATCACCACCACTGTAAAGAAATCCAAGTCTGTAAGTTTCTCTACAATGAACCATTTCACAATAAACCACTTTAAGTTATAAATCGTATTTTAAGTTAAAATACTTATCTAGACTTCATCATATTTCTGAAGTGGAGATCAAATCTCAAGGCAAATAACTTGACAACAACATAAATGTACAAAGATATTTGCACTATATTATATTTCATTTTATAACCTTGTCCGCACAATTCTTGAAATACTGAATAAAACATTTGAATATAGATGGAATAGTTTGTAATACTGAAATCACATTGTAGAACTTACCATTGTATGTAAAACAACACAAATTCTTAATATGGCAAGTGATTCCAAACTTTTCAAAGGTAGTGTAAATATGTTTTCTCTTTTAAAAAAATAATATTGTGTTCAAGGAACTCAATCTCTACTCTTGTATTCTTAACCCAGCATGCTGTCAAAAATCTCATCATATTGTTTTGAGTACAGGGTTCTATTAACGACTAGATTTAATTGAGTGCACACCAATGTACCTCCTCATGGCTTCTCCTGTGCATTTTAATGGGATTTGTAGACAATTTGTAGAGTCTTTTAACTCAACCAACACCTAAAGCAAATGCCTTGAACAATCAAGATCTAGTAACTCCTTTCTTTTATTCCTCTCTCCAATAGCATAAAAATAAGTTGCAAAAGAAAAAACCAACACTCTTTTTTTCAGTGCGACAGTTTTCCATGTAGTTACTGAATAATACATAAAAGGGCACATATCCTACATATTCTTGTATTTTATTTTATTTTTCCAGTTTTGATATTTGTGTGCTTTCATGTACCAAAAACACTCATAGTTTTTTTTAAGGTAACAATTTTCTAATCTCTCTTTGTTCCTTAAAATTAAACAGGCTGTTTCTGCTACTGTGCCTTTCAATACTGACATTTGTAAATGATGTTTTGTTCTGATTGGCTACCTGGTATAGTGCCTCGTTCAAAAAGTAGTGCTGGAGCCCTTCTTATAACTTCAGCATGAATAGTGGGGCTAATCTACTGTAGACTGAAAAGACGGCTATATGAAAAAGTTTTTGTGACATCACAAAAGCAGAGAATTCAAATTGGGCTGGTTTTGTACTGTTTAATCAAGTGAGGTGTATTTATTTTTCTATGATATGGGCCCTTTAAGACACAACTTAGGAATTTAAGGGGTTAAACTAATGTTTGTTTTTTTTTGTTCCTGTAGTCTGAATGCTTCGGTTTTGTACAGCGTGAATATCTGTATGCAGTGGACTTTGTGGAGCGATTTACTGTAATCGGTGGAGAAAGGTTTCTCCGACAGCTGCAAGTTCTTCCTCTACGGTCATTTCATTCCCTGGAAGAAAATGATTGACATGAACAGAATTTGAAGCATATTTCCTCTCACGTATTTGAAGCACATTTCCTCTACCACTTTAAAATCACAAGGCAGGTTCCACTTCAGAAGTGCAACATGGCTACATGCTATCGCCTGGAAAAGCACGGTTAGGTTTGCTTTAGACTGTCAACCGCATCATAATAATGTAATGCCATTGCCTTCACAAATGTGCTTATATGCAACTGTATCTATGTTGACATGTTGACACAGGGAGTATGCAATTGCTTTCATGCTGTTCATGCTAGAATGAAAGCAATTTCACTCTATGCACTTATGCATCAGAATAGAGTGAGATGCATATTAGACTATTATGACCAGCGTGGTTGACGTTAGTTAACTAAGTTAATCGTGAGCAGCAATCTGTGACATGCTGTCATGGAAATGTAAGTAGCCCTCACCTTGGTTTCAGTCACATATCAGTTAAGTAATGCCTTGACTGTTCAATAGCGTGTTCTTTTTGCATGTTTGATTCCAGACAGTTTCCTTCCCCCTAAAATGGAAGCTTAAATGCCAATCTGTGCCCTCGCTTCCAGCATATCAAAACAAATCAAAGCATTATGCTGCCATGAGATTGCAGGGTTGCAGAGGGGCCTGGGCTCACAGACAACCAAACACCTATTTTTATCCACCTTGCAGATTGTTTGAGGCAGAGAAAATGTCGATATTTCCTGGAGCTCACGATCCTTAGGAGGACATCATTAGAGAGGCCCCTGTAGCCTCAAGCCACAGAATGCTGTCACTGAGGTCCAGCTATCAGGCAGGTTTTTCCTTGACAGTGATGATTTAATGCAAACCACCATAACACAATGCACAGAAGAAGGAGGAAAATAATCAGGTGCACATTTCCAAGACTTTCTCCACCTTGTGTCTTTCTCATAAAGTCGAGAGTATGATTTCAACGTGGTCTATTAGCAAGCAAAGTCAAATCGCATGTAGCAGATGCCCTTTCACTCATGTTTTGCACTCTTTAAACTTTGAAACAGGCTCCTTTCTGTGCCATACTGATCTAAGTGCACCACCAGAGTGACCTTTTTCTTCTCACGAACGGTGGAAGAGGTGTCAGTTCCTGCTGAGCGTGACCTCCAATGAACAGCGGGGTGCAGGTTTCTAATCTCACCCCTTTTTCCAGCCATTACCTCCCCGGGTCTGCCTTCACCCCAGGGGTGGGAGCATTAGGATATGATCGGTAAATGTCAGAAGAGAATAGACTGCCTGGCTTAGACATGCAACCAGGGATACAAAGAGGATCATCTTGTTCCCTTAGGCTCAAAGAAGTGCCACAACTGCACGAAAATACTCTCTCTCTGAACTGTTTTTGGATTCTTCTCTCCATCCCGGGTCTCTTTCTAACTCTCCCTGTTTTGCCCTTGAAAAAGACTCAGGGGTTAGTTTCTCGACAGCGTCATTGAATAAAGATTATCTGAAGGTGGTGGAGTAAGAATGTTTGGGATCATCTCCTAGTTAAAGGAGAATTCCAGAGACTTTTTTCAAACTTGCTGCATAATTCAGTCATTGAGGTGAAGTCAGCGAGGGTGCTTTGGTCTGAAACCGTGAAATCCTACCAGCTGACTCTTTGCAGTGGTGATGATATGGACCAGGGGTCACATTACCTGCAACATAAATATAATCATTTTATTTTTTATCCAAAATGACCACTGAACCTACGCATGTCTGAGTTTTTATATTGTCATTGTCCAAAAAAAAAACAAGTATTTCCAAAATGGTAACTTTTCACAATCAGGTAAAGATGTTCTTTACTTAGGTTTACTTACTTAGCGTTATTTAGGTTTATGTAAAGAGATTTTGTGTAAAAGAAATTTTTACACAGTGTAAAGAGCAGCTGCTATGTTCAAATGGTGAAGACAAAGATGATATGTAATGTGATAATGGCAAAATAGTCGTAAATTTTCTTTTGGCCTTACAACAACCTGCATGTACCTCTCCACTGAGGGGATTTTAAAATACATTTTAGCCAAAAACATCATAAAAGAACGCATCAGTCAACATATTTGTATCTATTTCATGTAGCAACTTTCTGTGTGGAAGCTTTTAAAGGCATTCAACTCCTCAGAAGTCTGGTTCCTTTCACCACTACTGTGAACAATTCTGATTCTATAAGTTTGTCAGCACATTTCAGGTCAAACCTCTCTGAATGGCTTTGTTTGTATCTTAACTATTTAGTTATGCAGAACTTCTGAAAGATCAGTGGAATTCCGCTTTATGATTACCTTGGCAATGATTTTATCAATCTGATTACGATTGATCTGTCTTGATTTATGAATTATCTGCCCATAATTTTTATTTTTATAGCAACCACTGCAAGGCTGGAGAAGCTTAAGAGAATGCTAGTAAAAAAACCCATTCATCTTAATGAGATAGGTCAATTATTTTTATCCCATTTTTTATCATTGCCAATACCCTGTATCACATGAGGCTTCCAAGCTGTGAGGATGAAGGTCAAAATGTGCTTTATTCATGACGTGTCAGGCTAGCTACTGCATCTGGCTAGCATCATGCTCAGTAATGGGAGGACAGAGAGGACCATCCTATCCAGAGAGAGAGAGGCCTGAAAAACTTCATATTCATCATGTTCTCTTGGATTCCTACCACGGATGGCTGTGGCATCGTCAGGATCGAGCTCTTGAACTCGCCAAAATAGAGGATGTTGGTGTTTTTTTTTGTGTAATAGAGCTAACATTAGCCTGCTGGCAAATCAACTATCATGTCCAACCTTCCTTGTTTTGATTATATACAACAGCATAGTCCAGCTCAGAGCTTTAGCATTTTAAAGTTTAAAAACATTATGTCACAAAAATGAACTGTAACCTAAATTCATTAGGCTGAATGGATTTCTTTGGCAACGTTCTGTAAAGTTTATCTAACAGCAGCTAGGAATGAATACATTTGGTGGTGGAGCATGGGTCCAATCATAAACCTGTCCATAAGAAACAAAGAGGACATTCTTGTGGCCATAACTGATAAACTATACTGTTCTTGTCCTTGTTTCTAAATGTGACATTCAGGACTTACAAATTGTTAATGAGACTCTGCATACTAAGTACTGAAAAAGCTTTCATTGTGAAAAGCGGGTGAATAGGTGCAAGAAAAATACCTCGCCTTGATTCACACGCTTGGTATTTTGAGAGCAAGTGTTAATGTGGCTGTTATTTTAAAAATGGAAAGTGACGCTCGTGGCGAAGAGAGGTGTAGGAATCTACCCTGAAAAAGCGGGTGGCTTTGGTTTCGCATCTGTTCTCTACCTTTTTAACTGATTTCAGGGAAATTGCGTTTTTGAAGATTCCTGCAGATAAAGCAGAAACAGTGCTAGCAAAGAATGCAATGTGTTTATATTTGTAGTCCACTGAAGTTGTATTCAGATCTCAGAATGTTGTTAGTTAAGCAAACGACTTTGCTCCTCTTCTCAGGATAACGTGGATCTGGGGGATTTGATGTTTTCTCTCTGTTACTTGCCCACTGCCGGTCGACTGACCATTACAGTGATAAAAGCGCGCAACCTGAAAGCCATGGACATCACTGGAGCTTCAGGTATGCACAAATAATTGGGATATATATATATATATATATGTGTATATATATATGTATATGTATATATATATATGTATAATTTTTTTTTTTTTTACATGTTATTGAAATGTACTACCATGGTCTTCTTTTAAGTGAAAAAGCAACATTGTTTCAATTTTGGTTTATTGTAATATCCCCTCTTTAGTGTATTTAGACAGCACATTTTTTACATTTTATGAAAAAGGATTTATTTATCAAATTTACTGAAAAGGTCACATCAGGAGAAAAGAAACATCTCCTTTTGAAGGAAATTCTACCAATCCTTGAGACGTAAGCAATTTGTTCAGAGTGGTTTGATATAAAATGGTGCATTATAGAGAAACGCAGAGACTCAGATTTCTTAGGAACCAGACATCTCAAAGTCTACAGCAAATATAACCATTTATAACTGCCCAAAACCAACAGTGAACCTACACATGTCTTCTGAGTTTTTATATGTAATGTTAATAATGATAAAATAGTGATAAGTCATAAAAAAATCAGCTTACAGTGCCCTGCATGCATCTCACCACCATGATTAAATTTTACAATATACATTTATGACTAAAACCTGATCTCAAAACTAATGTAAAACAATGTCTCAGACAATTAATTTGAAACTATTTCATGTAATAGCTTTCTGTGATGGCGCTTTTAAAGCCGTTAAAAGCTTCGGCTGTCTTCCTATCACTACCATTGTGAACAGTTCTGCCTTGGTAAGTTTCTCCGGAATGGACCATTTTACATCAAACCACTCTGAACAACTTTGTTTACATCATTGTCATGTAATTATACAAAAAACATGAAAAATCAATAGAAAATTCCTTTTAACAATACTATTAATGGTGTACTAACCATAAGAACCATAAGAACAGTTCTTTTCCCGCTTGTTTTCCAGACCCATATGTGAAAGTTTCTCTAATGTGTGAAGGCCGAAGATTAAAGAAGAGGAAAACCTCCACCAAAAGGAACACCCTGAACCCCGTTTATAATGAGGCTATAGTGTTCGACGTCCCACCAGAAAACATTGATCAAATTAGCCTTTTGATAGCTGTGATGGACTATGATCGGTGAGCCACACCCCCTGTCATTCTCCATAATGTGTCTTACTAATAATACACATGAGCTTTTCTATGAAAGTTCCTTTGTTATTTTTTATACGATGTGTTTTTAATGTCAGTTAAAGAAACTCCTTCATGTGCAGTAAAGAGTGGCTCCTTTCACAGTGTAGGTCACAACGAGGTTATAGGTGTGACTCGGGTGGGTAACGACGCAGAAAGTCTGGGCCGAGACCACTGGAATGAGATGCTCACGTACCCTCGGAAACCCATCGCTCGCTGGCACCCACTTGTGGAGGTAAGAACATGTTGGGAATCGATGTTAGAATTACAAATCATTCATCACCCTGAAATAACTGAAGTCACCTTCTTGTCAGCTGACTGGAACTAACCCTAGGGCCACTACTGTCAGTTGTAATATATCACTGACTACCTAATGTTACACTCTCAGGACCTTTGAAATCTGATTTAATTTTCATACTGTAGATTCATGTCCTTTATAAATATGCAGCACTGTGCAAAAGTCTTAGGCAGCCATTAAAATTAATTTCCAATTAAAGGTTTAGACATGCCTACTAAGTGAAATTCCTTATTTTCCTTATTTGCAGCCTACTATTTTACTCTTAACAAAATAAGGTGACTATAAAAATAGCATAGCATTCTAAGCTATTCAAGAAGACACAGCTTTCTCGCACAAGTTGCTGTGCTTTATTAAAGGCTGTATTTGGCCACAGCCACACTTCACACATGGAATAAATTAGGCTTAGCTACGTGTTGCTCATTCAGCGGTCAGCAACAGACTACTGTACTTCCTCTAAGAAAACCCAAAGGCAAGCTAACCTGCCTTCAAAATAAGAGTCCTTGTAAAATAACCCAGAAGATAAACACTAGGAAACTATCATTGTAAATTTAACATGCTTAACATTTTATGAGCACTCTACAATACCTAAAGGAATCCTTAAATTCTTATATTCTTCATTTTTAAAAGTACCATATTTTTGCAGCAATGACAGCTTTATGCACTTTAAGGATTCTACATGTTCCTGAAAACTACTATTTAATTAATTAATTTATTTATTTTCATCCAGAAAATAAATAAACACAGTCCTTTGCAAAAGTTTGTGAAAAGTTAAAACATCATGTGCAGAGAACATTGTAATGCACAATTATTATTTATTTGTTGAATTTAACTTATTTTGGGGGGGAAAGCTGCCTGTGCAAAAGGCTCATTTTATTTTTTATATTTAATTTTTTCCTTTTTTTAAAGCTGTTAAAATCAGCAAATAAACAGAAATTGTGCACTATTACAGAAAATGGCATATTACAATGTGTCCCTGTAGAGGATGTGTTACCTTATTTTCACTTAGAAAATCAATGAAATGTGAGTGAGAGTATGCAAACTTTTGCATTTGCATTGACATGACCTGCACTGGTCCAGCATTTAAGCATAAACCTGTAGATATAATTGTCTTGAGATTATGAAAAACATACCTTAATCAAATGTGTCTAAACTTTTGATTTGTAAAATATATCAGTAGGTGTGAAATTTGTCTGTAAAAAACATTATATGATATTAGAATGTGTTAAAATAAACATAGATACAGTAAAAGTTAGAAGAATACTGTTTGAAGAACACAGGTTTGGTTTATGATGTCTGCACTCCAGCTACTGCATGATTTAATTTAATGAAGGACTTATTTGATAAATGAATTACCGGATGGTAACTTTAAATGCTGGGTTTATTATTTATGTATTTATATTTATGTATTTATTCTAATTTCTGTATTTATTCTAATGTCAGTGTTTTTCAAACATATAAATACTTACTGAACAGATAAATACCTTCACATATTGTCTAAGACTGTTGCGCAGTATTGTATTCAGACTCATTCTCAAACTCATTCAACTCATGAGACCACATCATTGATTTCAGTAGTGTTCATTCAGTTTCATTACATGCTCTTACAAGTGATGTACCAGCTCACAATCTGCTAATAGACTGTAGTAATAGTACTTATTTATTTATTTGCGTTTGAGATTCTGGAGCCCATTATATTCATGCAGACATTGTCCTGCCAGGCAAAATAAATAAATAAACAGCCACTCAGTTTCTGAACAACAGTGTTTCCACAAATATCCTCTTTTTTCTCTCTCTATTTTTATTCAGTTTACAGGCATTTGATTGAAAACTGCATAAGCATGCCACTTCAGTTACACAGGCACTCCAATTACTGAAAGAGTCAAATCATTTGAGAAATCAAACTGTGGCTATTTGCTCACAGGGCTGTGGATGGCCATTCATTAAAATAAGAAAGCATAAGCATACAGCTGACCTCTGCACTTACACAAGAATAACAGCTTGCAGCAATAGTGTGGAGAGAGTCTCTGTTAAACATAATAACAATAATAAACACGGTAGTGCCTAAAGCTATGGGCAAATCACGAAATGACGAAATGAGAGAGAGAGAGAGAGAGAGAGAGAGAGAGAGTAAATAGGGAGAAGGCAGAGAGAGAAAGAGAGAAGGTAAGATGAGGAGGAAAAAGAGAACAGAAAGCAATAAAGACATGGAGAGAGACAAGTGAGAGAGAAATGGACAAAGAGAGAGGATAGAGAGAGTGGAGAAAGAGAGAAAGAAAATAGAGAAAAGAGGAAAAGAGAGAGGGGAGAAGGGAGACAGAGAAGAACAGACAGGTAAAAAAGAAAAGAAAGGATGAAAAAGAGAGCGTAAGAATGAAAGAGACACAGAAAGCAAAAGAGACATAGAGAGCGAGAGGAGAAATTGAGAAAGAGACAGAGAGGAAGAGAAAGGAAGAAAAGAGAGGGGGAGGGGGCAGAGAGGAGAGGTGCGGGGAAGATGGAAAGAAAGAACAGATAAGAGGAGAGAGAAATAAGAAAAGAGAGACAGACATAAGAGGGAGATACAGAGAGGAGACGGAAAGCAGAAAGACAGAAAGAGAATGAGGAAAAAGGTAGGAGAGAGAAAGAGGAGAGAGAAGGAGAAAGAAAAGAAGAAAGGAAAAAAGAAAGAGGAAGAGGAGAAACAGAAGTGAAAGAGAAGGAGCGAGAGAGAGAAGAGAAAATGAGAGAGGAGAGATAGAGGGAAAGAGCAGACAACAACAGAGAAAGAAAAAAGACGGGGGGAAGGAGAGGGGAGAAGGGGGAGAGAGAAAAATAAAAAACAGAGAGATAAAGAGAAAGAAGAGAGAGATATAGAGAGAGACAGGAGGAGAAACAGAGAAAGAAGAAAGAGATAGAAAGACAATAAGAAGAAAGAGATGGGAAAGAGAAAGGGAGGATAGAGAGAGAGGAAGAGGAGAAAAAAGAAGAAAAAGAGAAAGAAAAAGGGGGGAGAAAAAGAGGGGATAAGGAGGAGAGAGAAAAAGAAGAGAGAGAGATAAAGAAAAAGGAGAGAGAGAGAGACAGAGGAGAAACAGAAAGAAAGAGATAGAAAGTCAAGAAGAAAAAGGTGGGAGAGAGAAAGAGAGGAGAGGAAGAGAGAGGAAGAGGAGAGAAAAAAGAGGAGAAAAAGAGAAAGAGCGAGAGGAAGAAGAAAACAAAAGAGAAAATAGATGTTAGACAGAAGTTAGAGGGAAAGAGTTGAGAATAAGAGAGAAAGAAAGAGAGGGAGATAAAGAGAAAGGAGAAAGAGAGAGAGAGAGAGAGAGAGAGAGAGAAGGGGATAGGGATAGGGGTTCACATAAATAGAGTAAGGCATGAGACAGACAGAGAGAGTTAAAGAAGAAGAGAGCGCAGACACCGGTGCAGTTTGTGTCTGGGTTACTCATTGTTCATGTGCTTTCAAATCGCGGGCTGAACTGTAAAGGGAGCTCATTTATTATTTAGCAGTTTTCATCCCCTGCCATTTGAGTCAAGGTTATAATGCCTCCACAGGCCCCATTTATTTCCCACTAAACTCATATTCAAAATGCCATCAGTTTGCATTGTACGCGTTAATTTCCCTTCTCTTTCTCTCTCTCTCTCTGCTACTGAAGCAGTAGTGTTATACCTGACTTACACTTTTAGACTCACGACAAAACAGTTATTTCTTGCAGTGAAAAAGAGAAGAAGAGAACAGAGACAGTCGTTTGTGGGAAAAAAAAAAGAGAGGAAAAAAAACATGCTGACCCTGAGCGCAAAGGAGACGGACATTTCTGTTTCCTGTTTGTTCAAATAACGGACACGTCTGGAGCATTATATATTAATAAATCTATTCTGGGCTCTTATGTTGCACTGCGGGGAGAAAGAACAAATTGTTTCTCTCACAACAGATGGTTTTGCAGGCTGGGGTGGCGAAAAGTGCATTGTGTGATTCAAGCACTGCTTCGGCTTTTCGAAACACACAAGCGGTTATGCACTCTCAACTCAGAGCCCACATTCAACTTTGGACTTGCAAGCCCAGACATTTATACTCTCTGTGTCCAAAAGTATCCAGACATCCCTTTTAATCAGTGATTTCCTGATATACCTTATGGTGCATCCATCCAATACCATTGGATTCTGCTGGAGTTGTGCTTTGGACCACTAGAATGGTCCAAAAATCTCAGTACCTTAATTTATATTAACGTTGTAAGAACGGTTTGAAGTAAGTCACATTTGCTCAATTTTCCACTTTTCTCAGATGTAATTGATCAGCTAATACATGTTTGGTGTCCAGATTTTGTTTCTTTACTGTAAAATTTGAGCCAAAAGATTAATGTAGCTAACAAACCCTGCCTGCTGTGTTCAGCTACATGGTGATGTTTTCTTCATTTTTATAGTTCACAGTAAGTCGTAGTGTGCTCTAAACTACACCGACAAGTCTATTTGACCTTAAAGGTATTTATACTCAACAGCAAAACAAACAAACCCCCCTTCAGTGCTCCTTCAGAAGCTCCACCTCCCAAACAAAATGGATGCACATTGTCAAGGTTGACTTACTTTTTTAGATTTTTGTGGCCATAAAACCCTTTACAAACATTGTACACACAAACACCATGATATAACATCAGAGTAAACAATGACACAGCAAGTAACATTATTTACATTAGCTTGGTAATGAGTTAGCAAACTGTCGCTACAGTTGCTGCTGTGAAGCTAACCAGTTGCTATCACAAACATTCGCAAACAGGACAAAACAGTACTGACCAATTGATTCTGTGCAACAGCAAAAATGAGTTAATGTTAACCACCTGTCCAACAGGAGCAACCTCCTCATCCCTTTCTATGCATTTCAACTCTTAATTGCCAGCTTCTTGTTCGAATTTTACTGTTCCACCTTAAAAGGTGCAGCAGCTAGACTACTACTCCTTAAATTGTGCATGCACGCTGTGAGTGCAGTCACTGTCTGGGGAGGGCAAAACAAAATGTGGGGAGAGCCAACATTTTCACAGGGCTGGACAAACATGTACATGTGGCCAGACTGGCTATGAAAACAAAAAAACAGAGAAGCTCAGATTACAGCACACACAGAGGGGGCGTGACTTCATACTCTGCCCTGGACACCATTACACCAATGTGCATATATAGAAAATAGTTGTTTGCTGCTATATTAATGTTTAAAATGTCATATATATCACCTTTAATGAGAACCTGGATGTGGTTTGAGCAGGTTAAGAGAATTTTTGGGGATGCATTTATGGAAAAGATTTGGGTGACTATTGACTCCTAGTGTTTGTTAGCAGCATTAGTCTTGTAGCTCCAAAACTAAGGATGCAAAATTTGGACACCAAACATGTTTTGGTCCACATCTACTTAGATTGCATCTAAGATAAGCTGTAATTTACATTTTTTTAGCAAAATTATTCCTTCAAGAATTTTTATCTTCCTCCTATAAATTTACCACTTTTACACCATTTTACAGTGACAGTGTACACCTTGATTCATTCAGCATGATTTCAGTATATAACAGACTATTTTCAATTCAATATAAATTGAATTGTTCTGATTTAATTAAATTGAATTTTGTCTTCATGTGTCCACATCTCCATTTCCAATTCAATCTTTGACCTAAATTAGGATTTGTCTGAAAGATTTATGTTCAGTGGGGCTTACCTGAATCTTATTTGTAAGTATTGATTTCTGATTTGCTCTCGTCCCCCGCAGTACCAGGGGTCCAGTGGGGGAAGCCAGACGGGGTCCTGCAACTCCCTCAAGACTCCTCCCTCTCCATAGAAGACAAATCCTGTCTAAGTCTCAACGTTTGAGTGGGCAGCGGCTCTTCCTTGAAAGTCATTAGGTCAAGAATGGAGCTGCTGACCTCCAGAGGAGTCTTACTTCTAAGAAAAAGGCCTGGAACACCGTTCTCTTCAACCTGTGCCTCTGGAAGCCCTTCCTTGCATGGGAACACTGATTGTTTCAGCTGCATGTTGAGTGGTCACATACTGTACGGTTATTTTAACACAAAATATGGTGATATGAAAAGAGTACAAGGGGTTTCTTTTTGAATGTTTTCCTTTTTTCAATGTCATACACTGTTAATCCAAATGTTAGGGTTCTAAACACTTTACTGCAAATGTGTTTATTGGAGCTACTCTATTTGAGAACATTGTAATGTACACCTGTATTAAAGATAAGAACATTTATTTTCAGAAATATTCACGTTTTACTCATTTGATGTTGCATTCAAGCTTTCTCCAAGATGTTCTCAAAAATCAAAAAATCTCAAAGAATACTGCTCAATTAAATACTGTAATACATGTAAATGTTACAGAAAAGTGTTTAGAACTCATACATTGGGATTTATAGTGTACAGTGTTGTGAAAAACTGTCTGCCCCCTTCCTAATTTTCTCTGTTATTGCACATTTATGACAGTGAATGAATTTAGATCTTTAAACAAAATGAAATGACACATTATTTATGGAGCAAAGTTATCCAATGTGCATATCATCCATGTGAAAAAGTAGTTGCCCCTTTAGTTACTCAAGCACATTCTGAGTGAACCCAGCAAAGGTCACAGAACCAAATCATCTAAGAAGTCAGTAAATGTTCCAAGAGAACATCCAAGGAGCTGTAGCTCTCTCTAGCCTCAGCTAAGGTCAGTGGTCATGACTGCACAGCGAAAAAGGTATGCGGGAGAAAAGTGGCATTCACGGACAACAACAAGGCACAATGTACTCCTAAAACAAAAGAAACAATGCAAATGCATTTCCAAAAAAGCTCGTGGACAATCCCTAAACCTGGAATTATGTTACTTGGATTTATGTTATTTGGACAAACCAGGCCAAAGTGTAAGTTTTTAGACTACACAGGTTCCTTTATAACTGCCATAAATCAAGTTCTGCCGTACCAACATTCAAACATAGTGGTGGTAATAGGAAGGTGTGGGGATATTTTGCAGCCTCATGACTGGGCCAACACCCTATTATTGAAGGAACCATGGATTCTGTTCAGAGAATCAGAGAATTTTTGAGGAAGGTATATGTTTATCTGTTTATGAGCTGAAGCTGATAGTGATCCAAAACAGAAATGCAAATCCAATACAAGAAATGAAAAATTATGTTCTGTAGTGGCCTTTCTGTAGTCCTGACTTGAACCCAATAGAGATGCTGTGACAGGGCCTTAAAGAAGCAGTTCATGCTTGAAAACCTACCAGTCAATCTGAGTTAAAGCAGTTCTGCAAAGACAAGTGGGCTCCAATTCCTCCATAACAATATGAAAGGCTGATAGCAAATTATAGCAAATGTTGGTTGCAGTTACCGCTACTAAAGGTTAATTGGATATCTTTGGTTCTTAAATAAATTAAATGATCATTTATAATATGCTTTTTACATCTGAGAATGTTACATTTTGTTTAAAGATCAAAAAGAATTCACTGTGACAAATAAGCCACGACAGAGAAAATCAGGGGGCAAATACTTTTTTCACAGTACTGTAGTAGCCAGTCCCAAATGTAAAAGGCCCTCCCTTATCGCACAAACCACCAATCAGGGAGGGCGAAGGCTAGCACACACTTCATTTGATGCTCGTGTGGCCTGCTATGGTGTCTTTTCAAGCCACTGGCCTAGCAGAACAGTCATTCACATGGTAACATACAGACTTGACTGGCTGGCATATCGTGTTATTCCCTCTCTGAGAGAATACTCAGCTCAGCTGGGATTTAACCACGGGCTCACTTTTGCACTGGAATTAGTGCTTTTAGAGAATAAGCATCTAAAAAAAGAGTTCAAAGTCTCAAAGAGTTTGTATGGGTGTCTATAAGCTTTATTTGATTAACTTTTTTTTTTTTAAAGTATAGTCTTGGTTCCTGTTTCTGACTGGATATTGTAGTGTATGTTATTGTGTCATCTGTAGAACTTGAGGTCAATATTCCCTTTACATCATTCCCCTTTTTCTTTACTCAAAAGTGCATGGATGTGTTTTTTGGTGGGGTACAGTCTGAAGCAGTTTTGTCATGAAATAATGTGTGAATTCTGTCATGAAACTGTTGCTGCCATTTGCTGATGATTTACTTACAGACTTTGCGAGTAAAATGTAATTTCATGTTATTAAACACATTTCTTAAAAAAGTAGTCTTGATGTGAAGTTATCTGTGAAGAAATTACGATTTTAAAACGATCATATCAAACATGCTGTGCATGATTTACTATCAGTATTTGCCTTTCAATATTTACACAGCACAAATTAATAATCAAATTTCAAACCCTCCCAAATAATGAGGAGCTTAAGGAGCTTAAAAAGATAATTGAAGTTAATAATTTTCACAAATAAGCTCCAAACACTAAATGAGTGTCATTAAGCAGCATAGCTCACCCAGTTATATTTGGCTTTTTGGGTAGATGATTTGCCTGTGTTTCAATGCTAAATTCACCAAAAAGACAAGAATGCAATGTTTTCTGTATGATCACCATGAATGCTAAAATTGTCTATGTTCAACAACAGTGGCAGACTGGAAGGAAAGGAACCAATGCTTTCAATCCTATGATAGTTCATATTTAGCACTGGTTGGCTGAGAATTTATCACTGCAAAGCCTGGCATACACTGTGGGATTTTAGTCCGTGTCTGAACCCAATTTGGCTGCAGCCAACTGAATTTCATGATTGGGCCCAATTTTAGCTTCATTGGCGGTTGTGTGATGCACAGTGTGAGGGGGAAGTGATGCCTGATTAACTGCCTCTGACTGAGCAGTTGGATGATAGGATGGATTTCTGACCTGTCAATGACCAATTTCTTAAAGTTGCACCCAAACCACAAACAAACATAATCACAACCACTAATCCTACATCAGTAAACACATAAACAGAGGCAAAAAAGTTGACATTGGCAGTAACAAAGGCCATGTATGCCAACTTTGCTCTGTTTGAATGAATTAACTTGCAAGATGTAAACATAAATCCGCTGATTTTTTAAAATTGTCTTGTAAAACAGCCAGTACAGAGACTGTGGTATTCTACGCATATATATCACCGCCTGATTATAGTTACAGTGCAGTGAGGCCCACGTTTCTCAATGGCTGAATCTCAAACTTCTCCCTTTTCTTGTCCAGTGCACTAGATAAGTTATAAAATTCTGGCTTCTACACCCAAAGCGCGAGCACCCAAGTCACAGAATGTCAATCAGACCAAGCGTTTTCGCATAGTGTGTGCATATCAATCATAGGCTTTGGCCACACAAAATGGTCTATTCAAACATACAGTGGGAGTTGTCACTAAAGAACAAGATTTCTAAATTTGCACAGTGTAGGCCTGGCTTAAGGATTTTGAAGTAACTAGTGCAGATCGATTTGAGCATCAATGAATTAACCTGCTTTGTTGCTAATTAACTCTTGTTGGAGAGCTTGTTTTCAATTAGAGGCTTTACCCATGAGACATCTCGAAGAGTAACTCAAATACCACATTGACACTACTTGTCTTCCTCCATTGATTATTAACTCATAAGCTTGTTGCTGGGCTCAGAGCAGCACACAGAATGAAGGAATGAAAATGAAGGGTAGCTATCTGACAAATATATACGGTATATGCAGTATTTGCACTGTCTACATCTTTTTTTACACGTTTTTACATCATTTGAAAACACCAACTGACCTTTAAAATATGTGAAAATACCATGATGAATGGATGAATAAAAATCGTTCAGAATTACTCGGGAGGGGGATACTTGCTACATTAACTTACAACAGTTAAGAATGTTCTTTCCTTCTCCTGAAAATGATTATTTTGGTCATACAAGACTTTGTACCTTCTAAATTGTGTATAAATTAATTCAGGAGAGGCTGAATTCTTTGTAGTATGGATTCAAGAAGTTGCTGAAAACATTCCTTTGTATTCTGCCCATGTTTCCATGACGGTATTATGTCCTTGCTGGAGGTTTGTCAGCTGCACTGATGCTGCAAATCTCTCGTTCTACCACATCCAAAAGGTCTATTGGATTCAGATCTGGTAATTAGGGAGGCCAATGAAACATAATGAACTCATTATCTTGCTCATGGAACCAGTTGGTGATTTTTTTGTGACAAGGCACATTGTCATGCTGGAAGTGGTAATTTGAACATGGGTAAATTGTGGCCATAAAGCGATGCGCATGGTCAGCAACAATACCTACATAGGCTTTGGCATTCAAACGATGCTTGACTGGTACTAGGGGCCCCAGTGTGTTCCAATGAAACATTCCCTGTCAATTACACCACCAGTAGCAGCTTCAGCTATTGAGACAAGACAGGTTGGATCTATGGATTCATGTTGTTTCAGTCAAATTCTGACACTATCTTCTGCATGTTGCAGCAGAAGACCAGGCCATGTTTTTCGGTCTTCAACACTGAGCTTGCGCCCATTGAAGCCTCTGACTCCTGTTCCTGGCCAAAAGAAGTGTAACCAGTGGGTCTTTTGCTGCTGTTGTAGCCCATCCACCTCAAAGTTTGACGTGTTCAGATATGCTTTTCACCACTGTTGTAAAGAGTGGCTATTTGAGTTAATGTAGCCTTCCCTGTCAGCTCAAAGAAGAAGTCTTGCCATTTTCCACTGACCTTTCTTATTAACAAGGCATCTCCGTCCACAGACTCACTGGGTTGTACTGGTCCCCATGGTGGCCATGACCCCTCGCGTTTTTACCAGATGCCTTGTACTTACACAACACCTATAACTCATGTGTAGCTTTGACACCTTAATACCATTAGCCTTCATTAGAGCACCAACTTGGATGAGACATAGCTAAATTTAGTGAACATAGCGGTGAGTAAACAAACATTACATTGACATTTTTGAAATCATTGAAGGCAACTTACAGGAGGCCCATAAGAAACTAGTTGTACTGTGATTACCAGACACTTTATTAGAAATCTCTACCTTGTTGGTACATTTTGGAGATGTACAGTTAGAGACTACAGCTTATCTTTTTCCATATGCACAGTTTGGGTTAGTCATACTCTTTCTCAGTGGTCAGTTTATGACAACAGGCCCACTGTTGGCTGGAAACACACAGTTATTGGACTATTTCAATTCAGCTTTGACAATGAGGTATAAAAATTCCAGCAGCCCCTGCATGCTTGATGCACTTATTCTAGTTCAACACACAATAACATGCCCTTACCTATAATATCTGGCCAATGGTGGTTC